TTATCTTATCTTATCTTATCTTATCTTATCTTATCTTATCTTATCTTATCTTATCTTGTCTTGTCTTGTCTTATCTTATCTTATCTTAAGATTAGCAGAAAAAAGAACACATGATAGTGTCATGTATTGCGTAGATAATTTGCTACCTCAGAATCACAACATTCTATCTGCTCAATACCTAGTTTTGAGTAATTTGACGTCAAAGAATTGGAGTTTCGCATCATGTCAAGTTCTTTTCGAAAGAAATTCTTTGAATATCTTGATACCGACTCCGAATAATTTTACGATTTTGGTAGAGGAGATAAAACATTTGGTTTCTGATCTCATGGTCGCCGTTACTCAAAATAATCAAAAATGTTACATAGAACTTTTAAATTCTGAGTTAGCAAATAATTGTAACATGTAGGCCTACAACACGCGCGTCACAACTATCCTTACCCCAGCAGACCATTGAACACTCATAATCAGCCTCAGCTTCCCGAGAAGTACACAGTGCAAGCTGCGGATTGCACGCGCTAAAACACCAAACAAACTAACAGGATCTTTCTTTTGCTATAAACGTGCACCCATTCCCACCTGGGTGAAGTGAGAAAAATTCGTGTAAAGTTCCTTTTCTAAGGACACAGCTTTGGGCCCCTCACAGGTTCGAACCCACGACCTTATGGTTGGGAGTCTGAGAACTTTTTTGTGCAGTTGGCCATCAACGCTGGGTATTACAGAGACTAACGTAAAGGACACATATTTGAGGAAGAAATCAGACGCAAGAGTAAAAATCACCAGAAACACTAAATGTAAATTCAAAAGAAAAAAGGAACACGTTAGTCATTGGAATTTAGAGGCGTTATAGTTTAGTGGAATACCAATTGGCGGCACAATGGGTGGAAATCCTCTCATTGAAGAGATAAATAATTATGTATACAATACAAACCTGTGTCTGTTGTGTAGGGGTAAGGCACTTCACCGTCGCACACGGAAGACCCGAGTTTGATTCTCTTGTCGGGATAATCTTGTATCTAATACATCGGTTTGTCTGCTGGGACATTGTATCCCTCTCAGCCTCCGTTAGCCACGACAGGCAGAGTGGAAGCTTCGAAGTTCACCTTCTAAAAGATTTAAATTGGCTAGATGGTGGCGTAAAAAACACCTATTTAAAAATTTACCACTTCATTTATATTTACCATTGTTCCTTTTCAGAGGGTGCGGTGGCTGAGCGGTTAGTGCGCTCGTCTCCGGAGCGGAAAGTCCGGGTCTGGGACTCAGTTCGGACACAGATTTTTTTCGTCCCCTCCTGCCCACCCAGCAGTAATGGGTACCTGACTTCGAGTTGAGGAAGTAAAGGCGGCGTGGAAAGGAACTGGCCACCCTCCACAATATGTCGAAGGCCCAGGAAGTTGTCTCACTGACAAGACAATCCCCAATGTCCGGATCGGATGCGGGAACAACTTTACTTTTTATCCCATTTCAGGTAAACCCAACAATTCTTGGGCTACTTGGAAGGATTATAGAGCAAACCAGCGCAGTGATAGGCTTAACTTGTAATTTAAAATCATTTTTAAAATGTTCAAAATTGTTTCAAAGCAGTTTCTGTGTACATGTTAGCTCTTCTCAAGCGTGTTAGCATTCCCCACACCCTCTTTGCTATTTGGACGAATTGTTTGCATGGTTTGTGCTTTCGTAGTTACAAAGTACACGCTATAATTTGACATAATAATGCAGTAAATTATACTGTTGGTTATAACAGTATAACACCTTACTCGGATTTTCTCTTTGGCTCAGTCATTACGGAGGCGTTACATTTGGAGGTCCCGCCTCTTAATTTTACATATAATATCAACTTAAACATGTTGCAAGCGGTGTTAAACCTATACCATTTCAAACCCACCGCGTTAGCATTCGTTACACTTTGCATTTTTGGACTCCTTGTTGACATTGTTAGAGTTTTCGTACGCTGAAAGTACAAAGAATTAAAAATAATAGAACTATAAATAACGTTAGTTGTCTGGGGTATTTAATAGGCATACTTGCTCGAGTTCTAAAACTCTTCTTTGTCAGCGGTAGAGAAAACGGTCGGAAATTAAACTGTGCCTACATGACGGGGGGCATGTTTTGCAAAATGTCAGGTTCCATTGAGTTGAGGAGAAATAGAAAGATTTTAATTGTGTTTGCCTCCGTCATTGTGTGGACATTGTTCTTCACAAACAACATATTGTCACAAAAATTATGACAACAACAAATAGCGTATTGCTAATGTAGGACTTATGGAATTTTGCTTTTCGATGAAGTTAATATACTGAAATTGGACATTTCAGAATATTTACCCTCTTATTTGGGGTTTTATTATTATCCAGCGAAAACATATTATCGAAAACGAACAATTAATCAACCCCACCCCCCCCCCCCATAAAACTCTCCACAAAAGAGAAAATACAACTCCAAAAATCTTGAGCGATAAAACTAAAAACATAACAAAGCAAAACAAAACAAAAGAGGCTCTCAAAGAACAAGGCTGCACCCCCCCCCCCCCCCCCCCCAAATTCCCAATCTCTCAACCACCTTGTGATTCAAGTCAATTGAGAAAATATACAGAGCAATCACTCTCCACCATCTACGATCCCTCGCCACCCCCTCCTTCCACACATTTTCTCTCAATTTCTTTGTCTATCTCCCTGCCCCTTCCACCCCAGCCTGCACCCCCCCCCCCCCGGCCTGAAAATAATGATGTGGCCCACAATATTTATATATTATTATCTTACCTGAGAAACCAGAAACCGATCAGTAACAGATCAGTCACAAAGCTTTCCAAGCACACAGCCGTGTTTGTTCTGAGTTTCTTTCAACTGTTACCATAGACTGCGAGGTTTCGTGTCAGTTTGATAGCGTTTGAGCGCATAATCGGCTGTTTTCACTATGTATGCTTCCCGGGGAGCCAAGAATGTTTCTGAGTGTTCTAGGGTCTGATGAGGTAAAGAAGATTGTTTAGCACACCGAGCTTATTTTTCTGTATATGCTGTTCGATAGATAGCCAAGTTTATCTTGTATCTTTTGCTGTCTTCTATTTTTCCGATGTAAGAGCGTAGAGCCTAAATGAGGACCGGATGCAATAGAAATATTATTTATTTTTTTATTATCATAATGACTTATTTTTAAATAAATCACAGACGATTATTACATGTATTTAAAAAGAGAGCTCAGTTTTTTTCATTGTTTAATTCCACATGTTCTACTTTCAGTCTGAGAAGATACACGCATAACACAAATACGAAACAGAATGATGGAAAGAAGCAGATGAGCTCTCCTAAATGTCCATTATGGACGTCCGAGGCAATCTTTCTCTCCCTCCAAGCTCGCTAGAGCAGGCATATTGTGGCCAAAATGTCCAATTGGCTCTACTCAGTTTTTGGCTACGTCACACAGTGCACGTCCTAAGTCACGTCACCGCAGTGCTGGGCATTGGGTTTAATGTCATCAACTTGTGTGTGTTTGCCAGACAAGGCTTCCAGGATACGATCAACATTTCGTTGTCTGGACTTGCGGTATCGGACATGGCCACGTCGGCGGTATTTTTGGCGTATCATCCAGCCTCGCTTGTGCTGGAAACTGTATATGGAAGAAAACCCACCGAACTAATACACTTAGGTACGTGTTTTTGTGCAGTGTTTGCTTTTGGCTTGGCTTTCATTTAAAGCTTATGTGGCGTCGGTAGTCTAGTTTGTTAGGCTGTTGGGCTCGTAACCGAAAGGTCGTAGGTTTGAACTCCGCTAAGTTTTAACCTTGGGGTGACATTTTTCACGAGTTTTCCTAACCACTCCCAGGTAGAAATGAGTACCTGGCTATATCCAGTGAAAGATCTAAGTCTTGTCAGTTTAGTTTGTGTCTGAGCACTAAACAAGCTGCTTGCGCTATTATGCTCTCTGGTAAGTCGAGAATGTTTCTAGGCGCTCTAGGGTCTGCTGGTGGTAATGCCAGCCTGATATACTCGATAGTCAAATCTGGAATACCCGGAGGTGTCATCTCTGGTTCAGATGTTGACGTGTACTGATCCGCCATTGTTTACCTTCGCTAGCATCTCTAGCGCATTAATCATTATTTGGTCGCTTTTAAGCATAAAGGGGTTATCCCGAAAAATGGCGCTTTGAGAAAATCGAAGGTAAAGTTTTTGTCCGTTGTTCAGTTTCTTTAAAAAACTAGGAGAGTTTTCTCTATAACCAGACAAATATACACACCAATGAAACTTCTCCTATAGGTAGGGCAGTACCCACTTTTGGTGTACGTCAACATTTCCATAAACTCCCGAATTCTGGGTTAGCCCGCTTGTCCTTAAAAGTGACCCATTATCCTCGTCTATACTGTAATGATGTTCGTCCAAATTCTGTGTTTTCCACCCGTTACCCTTGTGCCCGGCATCTTGCCGCCTAATATTTCCTTCATGATGGTATGATGATGTTTCATATGACCAAGGTATGGTATGTTTCTGCTATTCATTCTGTTTATTAGGTTTTGTCTTGTGTGGAGAATCTGAAACAACTCAAGGCATTTTTTGTTGTTGTTGCTCTCCTGCTAATTCTGGCCTTTCTGCTTTAGCACCATATCTTAGATTCAATTAGAGAACTCTTCCCATACGAGAAATAACAATTCTGTTTGTTCTTTTTACCCACAGGTTCATGGTTGTCCTATGGACTCACCATCAACAGTTCCTGTCTCGCTCTCTTCATCTGCCTGGAACGATACCTCTGCGTGGCTTTTCCACTGAAGGTCAAAGACATGATAACCCCAAAGGTCACGGTCAAGGCCGTCATAGCGATCTTTTTGGTAACTATAACGACCGTGCTTCCCGCGATGCTAGCCTTAAGGTTCAGCTGGTATTTCGATAAGTACGCTAACCAAACTATTCTAGCACTCATTTTCATGGAACACACCTCGGATTTGGCCAATGTGTCTTACGTTCTGTCGACCTCCATACAAATACCCGCCCTCATTTGCTTGTGCGGAGTTACGGCCCTATTGATTTGGCTATTGTCAGGCCACAAAAAGGAACTGCGAGGTTTTCTGGACGCCCACACCTCACATCATTCTATGCGACGACGCAAGCGAACGGCCAAGATGGTGGTCTTCCTCTCCTCCGTCATCCTGGTGTGCTTCGTCCCGGCTCAGCTGGCGTCTGTGGCGACATTGCTGAATCCAGATTTTGATGCCGGCGGGAGACACGACACGGCGTACAAATTGAGCTGGGCTGTGATCTTCTTGCTGCACATGGCAAACTCCAGCGTCAATCTGTGCTTTTACTACAGCATGAGCTCTAGATTTAGGAGCACTTTGACGCTCATGTTGAAAAGACGATAACTATAGGACAGTCACTGCTTCCCCCCCCTCCCCCCTTCTTATTCCTTGCGGTTAGAACGAGCAGCTATTGATAATATAAATTTCAACTTCTTCTTCTTAGCCTTTTTAGCAGTTGGACGTTAGTTCTCGGAACTTTCTGCAATAAAACCCCTGTCTATAACCATTCTGCCTGCTTGAGATATTTGTTAGGCACCGTGGTGAAATCAGGCGCCTGTCAAAATAATGAATCATGAAATCAAAGATATTGGCATTTTTTGGCCAGGTGAGTATTTTTTTTTCTGATTTTGTTTTTTTTTGGCTCAACACCCATTATGTCCATTTAAAAACACATTTTTGTGTGGATTTTGCTGAAAAACATTGATTAAATAAAAGCAAAAAAAAAAAAAGAGAAGTAAATTTTCAGTTTCTAAGGACTCTAAGGCTATGAAATTTACCAAAATTTGGCGGCCATTCTCTGGCTAACTTTATCTTTGAAACCAGGCGACCCTGATTTTCTTCAATCGCAAACATTTGGAATTCTATTCAAGATAGATGGATGATATTTTATTCGCCAAACGGAAGGCAAATGAACAGACTTTAGGATGATACCAATAACCTCATATGCCAAAAAAATTGACAAGCGCCTGATTCCACCAAGTCGTGACACATTTTGGTTCCAAGCCCTTTTTTCACAGCCTGTTCAAATCTCGCCCTTCCTCTCTTGCCTTCTACCTTTGCTTCCACTATAGAATATTAATAATGCTTCTCGAGAGAATTATGGAGTCTGATGTGTCCAGAGTAGTCAGGTTTCTTGAGGAGTGTTGACGCCTCAATCAATCATCATCATCAAGTGCCAGATTTGCGACAGACATCGGCGATCATGGTTTTTCCATTCATTCCTTTGCTCGGATGCTCTAAAAAAAGCTACGTTTCCCCGATCTTTTCCTGTTACCCATTTGTTTAGGTTCCCTAAGTACATGTATGTTGTTCTGGGCCTACCCCTGCCTTGCTTGCCCTCAATTTTGCCAGTAAGAGCTAGATGTTCAAGACCCTTATGTCTATTCAGGTGTCCCAAAAACTGCATTTGTCGTTTCCTGATTGTTTTTATCATTGAGCGTCCCACGTGGGTTTCTTCAAGCACTACCTCATTTGATTTCTTTTCCTTCCACGATACTCTTAGCAGTCTCCTAAGAAACCACATTTCTGTTGCCTCTGTTTTCTTTTCACTGTCTTTAGTGATTATCTAGCATTCACAGCCATATAGAAGGGTTGACCAAACATAGCATTTCAGGACTTTCATTTTGGTGTTCATTGAGATGTTTCCATTTTTCAGGATGGGGCTCATTTTTATTGAAACTAGCCTTAGCCATTGTAGTTCTCCTTTTTATTTCTGTGGAACATTTGACGTCAGATGTTATCGTATATCCGAGATATTTAAACTGTTGGACTTGTTTGATCTTTTCACCTTGGCTAATGAGATTACAACTAGGGTTTGCTGCTTTTTTGGATATTACCATGCATTCTGTTTTCTTTACATTCAACAATAATCCTTTACGTTCACTTTCTGTTACCATAGTATCTAGAAGCAATTGAAGGTCCTTTTCGGAGCCTGCTATTAAAACTGTGTCTCCTGCATACCTGATGTTATTAATATTTTCTCCATTTACTTTGAGGCCTGGACATTCTTCTGTGTTTCTAAGGATTGTTTCACTGTACATGTTAAAGAGGTCTGGTGACATAACACATCCTTGCCTTACTCCTCGCCTGATCCTCAATCAATACGATTAGATTATTTAAGAGGCGGGACCTCCGAGCTTAACACCCATCTCCGAAAGGAGCGAGTCAAATAGTGTATTTGCGTAAAATGCATTTTCCAAGGAAAGAACCTCGGACCGAGCTGAGGCCCGAACCACTGAACTCGCAATCTCACGATTACAGGTCAGCAGTCTAACCATTTCTCTCTCCCAGAATTACAAAGTTCTATCTGACATTTTTGGCCGTTTTGAGTTATCAGGACCATGAGGTCAGAAACCAAATGTTCTGTCTGTTCTATAAAAATTGTAAGATAATTCGGAGTCATTATCAAGATATCCACAGAATTACATTGTTCTTTCTAAATTCCGGAAGATCTTTACAAAATTACAAAGTTCTATCTTCAAGAGAAAAATTGGGTTACGTTACGTTTGAATGAGGCGCTCTTCAGTGTTGAGTCATGTAAAGTTATTGCTATCATCTTATAGTTTGTTTATTTACCTTGTTTTAGGTGAACAAAATACGTATCTATCTTGAAAAGAAGTCGAGATATTCGCGATTGAGGAAGGCGGGGGTTATCTGCTGTCAGAGGTAAAATTAGCCAGAAAATAGCTAGCTTAAAAGAAAAACAAAATAAGACAATACCAATGTACACATAAACTAAACACGCCAGCGATTTCTCGTGGTAGTTCGATTTAGGCTCCAACGATTACCATAATAACCAACTATCCTACAACCCTGAAAACCTTCCCCTATCCCTACCCCTACCCAATGATGATACATAACAAGATGGTCCACTCAGCCAAAACAGTGTCCGCCGGAAGTCTGCGCAATGGCTAAGATGGCGCTGCAGTCTTTGTTTTGAAGCTCTCTTTCGTTTCTCCAAAAGAAGAATAGGAATAGCACCTCATTGCGTGCGCAGATCGACTGATGTTCATCAGCTGTTCTGGTTCGTTCAGTGCAGAGTTTAGGGGGTTAAATTTAAAAAAAAATGACCTCTTGCCTCTCATTCTGAAGTCAAATTAATCGAAGAAAACAGTCATCTATTCCTCCGGAAGATGTTTTTTTTGGTTTTCAGCCTAACCATGTTAAAGAGGCGTTCTTCCGAAATTTGAATTCATATTTATTCAAAAACTTGTTAGTTTCACATTAATTTTTTTCCACACAAGTAGGGTAACTCTTTTCGCAAAGGGTGCGCTTTTGCGAAGAGGGCGCCACCGAATTTTGAGGACACTTTTTTAATTGGCTCAAAAAGAGGAGTGGACCATCTTGTTATGTATGATCATTGTCCTACCGCAACCCCTTACTCATATAAAGTTAATATTGATATTTCATTACTCTTGGGGCCAAAACTGGAGCTTTCCGATAGTTCTTATCTTGAACGGACCAAAGGAGTCAGATGCAGAATGGCAGAAAGGTGGAAGGGTAGTGGGGGTGGTTTGGGGGGGGGGGGATGGATTCATCATTATCAGCCCTAAGGCCTGATCATTTTTTAACGAAGGTATTTTTGCACCGCAATCGAAACAATTTAGATTATTTTAGAAGTGGGCTTCAACCCTGTCTACCAACCCAGACTGAGAGGTATACAACACAAAACAGAAAGACACAGATTCTCTCCACTCGGGAATCAAACTCCGGTCTTCGGCGTGAGACAGCCAAAGATCGTACATAACAAGATAGTTCACTCGGCCAAAAAAGGGTCCGCGGAAGACACCACCCCCTTGCGCTCAGCTGTTCCGGTTCGCTCTGTGCTGAGTTTTGAGTTTATTCTATTTTAATAACCTCTCACCTCTAATTCTAAAGCCAAATCAAACGACAAAAACAGCCGAGCCTTTCACATGAAGAGGATTTTTGTCAGCGTAACCATTTTTAAAAAAGTCGTTTATTCCGAAATTTTAATTCTAATTTAAACAAAACTTGTTTATTTCACTTTGATTTTCTCCCATACAAGCAGGGTAACTCTGTTCGCAAAGCGGGCGCTATTTCAAAGAGGGCGCCACCGGATTTTGAGAACACCTTTTTAATTGGTTCAAAGAGAGGAGTGAACTATCTTGTCATGCACGATCTTTGAGACAGCCAAGCGTCTAACTACTAAACCACAGACGACAGCCCTCGCTTTTGGGATAACAGATGATCGAAACAAGGCTGCTCAGTATACGATGATAGATACCAGTCTTCAAGTGGGACGTAGTCGAGAAGAAGAAGAAGAAGAAGAAGAAGAAGAAGAAGAAGAAGAAGAAGAAGAAG